CTAAACCAGGTCTAAACCAGGTCTGAACCAGGTCTAAAACCAGGCTAAACCAGACTAAACCAGGTCTAAACCAGGACTAAACCAGGACTAAACCAGGTCTAAACCAGGACTAAAACCAGGTCTAAACCAGGACTAAACCAGGACTAAACCAGTCTAACCAGACTAAACCAGGTCTAACCACACCAGGTCTAAACCAGGACTAAACCAGGTCTAAACCAGACTAAACCAGCTAAACCGTCTAAACCAGGACTAAACCAGGTCTAAACCAGGTCTAATCCAGGTCTAAACCAGGTCTAACCAGGACTAAACCAGGTCTACTAAACCAGGTCTAAACCCTTAAACAGGTCTAAACCAGGTCTAAACAGGTTAAACCAGGACTAAACGGTCTAAACCCAATAAACTAAACCAGGTCTAAACAGGACAGGACTAAACCAGGACTAAACCAGGTCTAAAACCAGGTCTAAACCAGGACTAAACCAGGACTAAACCAGGTCTAACCCTAAAAGGTCTAAACCAGACTAAACCAGGACTAACCAGGACTAAACCAGGACTAAACCAGGTCTAAACCAGGTTAAACCTAAACCAGGACTAAACCAGGACTAAACCAGGTTAAACCAGGACTAAACCAGGTCTAAACCAGGACTACCAGTCTAAACCAGGTCTAAACCAGGACTAAACCAGGACTAAACCAGGTCTAAACCAGGACTAAACCAGACTAAACAGGTTAAACCAGGACTAAACCAGGTCTAAACCAGAAACCAGGACTAAACCAGGTCTAAACCAGGACTATAACCAGTAAACCAGGGACTCTAACCAGGACCAGGTCTAAACCAGGTCTAAACCAGGACTAAACCAGGAAAACCAGGACTAAACCAGGTCTAAACCAGGACTAAACCAAGGACTAAACCAGGTCTAAACCAGGTCTAAAAACCAGTCTAAACCAGGACTAAACCAGACTAACCAGGCTAAAAGGTCTAAACTAAGAGAGAAACGGTTTTAGTGGTTTATTGCTTTTTATAAAGATACGGAAAAATAGTGAAATAAACAACAGGATCATGTGGAGCAGGTGAATATGAACATTTTAAAACCAAAAAACGAGCCCGTCGATGTCCATTTGTAAATATTTAGTCGTAAATGATGTTTTATTTATCGTGGTAGTAAAACCGGCATCAAATATCACACTGTTCACCTTCAAATCCCGTCAGGTTTGACATTCTGGGTTATACCAACAGTGTCCAGCGTGTCCCTGTTCTAATATCAAAACCCCATTCTGTTTCCATTCATAAATCATACCCAGAATGCTTTGCTCTTTCCACCATAGGATCTTTGTTTAACGCTGCCCATTCACAGCCAACAGAGCTCAGACTAGGGACTAGGAACTAAACCAGGACCCAGGTCTAAACCAGGTAAACCTAAACCAGGGTCTAAAAAACCAGGAACCAGGTTAAACCAGGAACCAGGTCTAAACCAGGACTAAACCAGGTCTAAACCAGGTCTAAACCAGGAGTCTAATTAAACCAGTCTAAACCCTCTAAACCAGGACTAAACCAGGTCCTAAACCAGGTCTTAAAACCAGGACTAAATCAGCGTCTAAACCAGGACTAAACCAGTTCTAACCAGGTCTCAACCAGTCTAAACCAGGAACCAGTCTAAACCAGGTCTAAACCAGGGACTAAACCAGGACTAACCAGGTCTAAACCAGGTCTAAACCAGGTCTAAACCAGGGACTAAAGCAGTCTAAACCAGGTCTAAACCAGGACTAAACCAGGTCTAAACCAAACCAGGTCTCTAACCAGGACTAAACCAGGTCTAAACCAGGTAAATCTAGAAACCAAACCATCTAAACCAGACTAAACCAGGTCTAAACTAAACCAAGTCTAAACCAGGTCTAAACCAAGTCTAAACCAGGACTAAACCAGGTCTAAACCAGGTCTAAACCAGGTCTAAAACTAAGGCTAGAGAAACGGTTTTAGTGGTTTATTGCTTTTTATAACAAGATACAGACAAAATAGTGAAATAAACAACAGGATCATGTGGAGCAGGTTAATTGAACATTTTAAAACCAAAAAACGAGTCTCACTGCAGCAGTTAGACCCGTCGATGTCCATTTGTAAATATTTAGTCGTAAATGATGTTTTATTTATCGTGGTAGTAAAACCGGCATCAAATATCACACTGTTCACCTTCAAATCCCCGTCAGGTTTGACATTCTGGGTTATACCAACAGTGTCCCAGCGTGTCCCTGTTCTAATATCAAAACCCCATTCTGTTTCCATTCATAAATCATTACCCAGAATGCTTTGCTCTTCCACCATAGGATCTTTGTTTACACGCTGCCCATTCACAGCCAACAGAGCTCAGCGGGACTAGAACTAAACCAGGTCTAAACCTAAACCAGGACTAAACCAGGACTAAAACCAGGTCTAACCAGTCTAAACCAGGACTAAACCAGACTAACCAGGTCTAAATCAGGTCTAACCAGGACTAAACCAGGACTAAACCAGGTCTAATCAGGTCTAAACCAGGTCTAAACCAGGACTAACCAGGACTAATCAGGTCTAAACCAGGTACTAAACAGGACTAATCCGGTTAAACCAGGACTAAACCAGGACTAATCCAGGAGACTAAAACCAGGTCTAAACCAGGTCTAACCAGACTAAACCAAACCAGTCTAAACCAGGACTAAACCAGGTCTAACCAGCTAACCAGGACTAAACCAGGGTCTAAACCAGGTCTAACCAGGACTAAAACCAGGAAAACGGTCTAAACAGGTCTAAACAGGACTAAACAGGTCTAAACCAGGACTAAACCAGGTCTAAACCAACACTAAACCAGGTCTAAACCAGGACTAACCAGGTCTAAACCAGGACTAAACAGGTCAGGACTAAACCATGTCTAAACCGGTCTAAACCAGGATAAACCAGGACTAAACCAGGACTAAACTAAACCAGGTAAAACCTAAACAGGTCTAAACAGGTTAAACCAGGCTAAACATCTAACAACTAAACCAGGACTAAAACGGTTAAACCAACTAACCAGGTTAACCAGGTTAACCAGGATAACCAGGAATAGAATAAACCAGTTACCAGTGTCTAAAAGTCCTAAGTCTCAGCTTTTTGTCAGTTCTTCTGAACATGTTTTAAAACGTGAACACAGACCAATAATTAAAACATAAATCCTTCCAAAACTGTCCTTCTTCTGACTTCTGGAGTACGACTTTGGCGAACGGGGGGATGATAAAAACGCGGTAATTGGGCTGAAACTGAACCCCGCTGTCGTTTGTGCGTTCGCCGCGAGAGCGCGAAGGAAGAGGAAGCAATACGGTCTGCGCTTGAATGGAGACTCTAACTTTAGCTCCAGTCCAAAATAGCATGTCATTTCCTCACATCGAAATTGTTAAATCCGCTCTTTTTCAGCCGAGGAGATCATTACCAGCCTCATAATGCCCGAAAAAAAAAAAAAAAAAAAATCACGTTCTTCTTTTATAATTTTGCTTGAACTTTTACAGAATGTCTTTATAATAGCTTCTAGGAATAACTTAAAGAGGGGGGCATTACGCAAAATCGGTTTTATTTTGGCTTTCTACGATGTTGTAATGTTTCTCTCTCGTCAGAAACAAGCCCGGAGAGGTTTTTAGACGTCATCCGAGCGCGTTCCAGTCATTTAAAGGTTGTATAGAGGATTTTTTCAGGGAAGAAAAATACAGCGACAGTCCTTTGTCAAACCTCCTCCCGCCTCTTTACTCTAGAAATCACACTTGTTTACATCCAGTGCGTCTTCAGAATTACTGTTGAAGTTTCCTGTCTAGAAATAATTTAATGACCGACGCGTCAGTTTTTAGACCCTTCGTCCGCTTCGGTCGCGCCGTCGCTGGAAGGAATCTCCAAGAATCACCTCAGTCTGTCTTCGCTCCTTTTCTCCTTCTCTTCTTCTTTCAGCGACCTCAAAAAACGGACTTTCTTTTGCGTTGAACCGGTCGTGGAATCTCGTCCGCCGTCGCGAAAAACTTTGCGAAAAACGAATTGCGAGGAAGCGACAGTTTGAAAAAGCCTCTAAGAACCGCTGCATAAACCACGTAATCCCCGCGCGCCGAGAGTCAGTTACACTAGAAACGTAGGGAGTTTGATTGACAACCTAACAGCCAATAGATAAAGAGGGAGCCTCGTTGTCTATTGGCTGATGTTTGTCTTGACTCACTACGTCCACAGTTGATAGATTTTCATTCTTTTTTTTTTGGTCATCATAATTACAAGGCTGCTGCGTCTCTGTAATGGTATTTTAAACTTTCAATGACAATTTGAACCTAAAAAAAAAATCCTCCATACAACCTTTAACGATCTCTCCCGGGCCTATTC